GGCTCCGCAGGTAGAGGATTAGCCAAGTGAGATGAGGTGCCGTCCTGTAACTCTACTTTTCAAAATAATAAATAAATAATTAAAAAATAAAAAAAATATATAAAACAAGAAAATCAAGATAAGAAGATAGGAAATTTTGAAGCTTTAAAAAGACCCACTTGACTGGTTGGGACTGTATTTTCCTCTTCTTTGTTCATTGTAGAACTGATGACTAGCGACTACCTTGATCTTGAGGCAAACTTGAATAAATAAGGAGTTAGCACAAAGATAAAATAAGCCTGGATCCCTGGGGACTATGCAATCACCCCATCAGTATAGTCTTCTTATTTCTCCTTTGTGTAAAAAAGAAAGAAATCTGTATCTTGTGTGAACTTCTCATCTTGAGTTTCAATGTTGTGCATCTAGACCTAACCTTAGTGGCTTATTTCACTAAACAAGGATTGAGCTCCTGCTAGATTCAAGGCACTGGGGATACAAACATGAAAAAACATGATTCCTGCTCACTAGACCTTTGCCTTCTAAAGGGAGGAGCAATGGTCAAACAGCCATGGGCAGGGCAGCGATACCCGGATCACACTTTTTATAGAAGTACTCTTAAATAAAGCCTCTTTGTAAAGAATTCAACACATTACTGAATTTTAGGGGTGAGATTTTGCCAAGTTCTTGGCTAATGCACATGGCTGAGTAGTGGGTGCATTATCTATGACTGGGCTAATTGTATGCTGCCAATGGCATATGTATACTTATTCAATATCAACCCACTTTTGAGTTCCACTCAGTACTTGCAGGGAGCTGTGAGGAACAATAGGGCTGCCTGAAGCCACAGTGATGGATCTTATTGCAAACCACAGGCTTTTAAAATTCCCCATTCAGTGCAGAGAGTCTTCATAGCCGGCAGGAACTGAGATCCCCATTGATAACTACAGACACCCTGATGACCTCATCGCCTCTGCCTCTCTCCACCGCCAGAGTGTCTCTCAGGGTCCCTGGATAATGGGGAAACTAACAGGCCTCTTTGCAGATCAGTCATTGATTTTAATTAAAAAAAAAAATCCTGGGATTGTATTTGAACTCACAGAAGAATGAACCAACTGCAATTAAGACTGATAGAGGAGCAAGTGGAGAGTAACAATGAATAACCTTGTGTAAATCTTTTCTCAGTAACCCCCAGTTCCCTATTTACAAAATTAAAGTGTGGGGGGCCAGCACCGTGATGCAGGGGGTTAAGCCAGCGACTGTGACACTGGCATCCCACATAGGAGGGCTGGCTCAAGTGAAGGCTATTCTGCTTCCGATGCAGCTCCCTGCTAATGTGTCTGGGAAGGCAGCGGAAGATGTCCCAGAGTGTTCGGCCCCTGCTACCCTTGTGAGAGACCCGCATGGAGTTCTGCACTCCTTTGGGGAGTGACCCAGAAGATGGAAGATCTCTTTCTCATTCCCTCTCTCTGAGTCACTCTTTCAAATAAATAAATAAATAAATAAATTTTTATAAAAGAAAATGATAGTGTTTGAAGAGGTTATTGCAGAATCCCTCAAGAGCTGGAATCCTGCTATTCTGTTTATTGAGCTAAAAAATATGAGAAGGAACACAAAGGAGAAAATTCCTGTAGCAGGCAGGGAAAACTTTCTCAAGACAATTCAATGGGGGAGACGTGGTCTTTAAGAAAGAATGGTGTGCTCCATGTTGGGCGTGGTGTGGGGATGGGGAGGGGAGGTGATATTATCAGGGACTCCTCATGCTGAGAATTTTGGTCATTTTTCTGGTTGATACAAGGGACTGATAAAGGATAGGTCCTAAAAGCATCTTGCTTTCCAGGGGGTTCAAGACAAGAAAATATCCAAGGAGTTGCTCATATTCATGACTTTGTGGAATGTGATATTATAAAGTGCAAGCAATCCCAAGAAGTTTTCATGTGCTCGACAATCGTTCGTCCTGTCTTGCACCATCACCTTAACACAGTAACGTGATTTTGTATGTCATATAATTCAATGTCAAAAATGCTCAATTTAGATTCTTCTTTTTCATGGTTCAAAAGTGTAGAGAACTGATGTCAAATCCCAGGCTCATGTGACCTTGGGCTGGTTACTGAACTTCTCTGAACATCAATTTATTTGTCCATAACATGAGGATGCTATTGCCTGCCTTTTAGGGTCATGGAACCAGATGAGCCAATGACAGCATTTAGAATTTGTTAGTACAATTATATACTTGTACTTGTGATTTTCTAAATTGAAGCTTCCTCCCCCTCTGGACTGAAAATTCTATGAGCACAACTCTGCTTTTACTGCTCCTCTTACTTGTGCCCAGCACAGGGCCTGGCTGTGGTGATGACCCATAAAGGGTTACCCTCTTAATTTTTGTTAAAGGACTCAGAAGCAATAGCTCACCCTATTTGAATAAATCTTATTCTGGGCTCCATACTACCATGCAAAGTATTTCACAGATGTCAGTTGGACTGATTTTCATAGGCTGTTAGGTTTACAGTGTCAGCAGGAAGACAGCCCTTGGGTTAGCTGGTTCATTTCCTGAGTTAAATTCAGTCATCCATTTTCATCCACATAGCCAGGCGCCGGATCTTTTGAACGATACTTCTTCAAACATGACTTCATTTGCCCCCAGGCCAGTCTCCTTAGCAATTTTAAAAAGCATGAAGTTTTAGAAAATTTAGACTGTAAGATCTAAGTACTCTTGGCACTTGGAAAAAAGTATCATATTAATATATCCTCCTTTGTCAGATGTGGAAGTTACAGACACATCTGCATCAGACCATTTTAAAATACAATTTGGCCTGTTAGGCATTATTCTCACTAGGATATAAAATAGAAAGATCTTCTTTAAGCATAATTCTATGCTTGAATGAATATGGAAGAAGGCATCCCTTTCCTGTGTTCTTTTCTCCAAGTTTGAACCTTCATCTACATTTTCTTGGGTCAAACTCAAGATCAGAATGTCCTACAGAAAAATGTGCACTTTTGAGTCAGATAGACTTCAGTTCCAATCTGGGCTTAAATGAGTGACTTAGCTTTATTGTGCCTCAGGCTCTTCATCCATAAAATGGGATACTAATATTATCTTCCTCAGAAAGTCATTATGAATAGCAGAAAATGGAGAATATTTTCATATTTTCATTTGCCTTGATTTCTCTTACAGAGACTATCATACTTATTTAAGAGAGATACTTGGGTAAGTCACTTTGGGTAAAGGGTGAGACCTCTGAGGGCAAAAAAAAAAAAAAAAAAAAAGCTCCCATTCTCTTGCAGATCTGCATAATCTGCATATTTGATAAAACCCACCAGATTGGTGTGGAAACCAGTGAAAGGAGCTAGATTTCCATTTGGGCTGAAAGCAGAGGCCGCATGTGTGAATGCAGAAACCAGATGCCAAGAGCTAACTCTAATCAGGGGAATTTATGGAAATGGAGGGCAGGGCTTTGAACTTTCACAGTTTTTAGTGCTGGGAGGTGTAAGCCAAATGTACTAGAACTACAGGGGCAAGGAAATCCTACCAGATAGCCAAATTTCTGAGGATTTGAGTTAATGTTAAGTAAACAATGTACTACTTAGTGATCATCTAATAATCAGTGCCTACCATGTTTGACTATACCCAAATCTAAAGTTGAGTAAAGTACCTGACTTGAGCTCTCATTTCAATGATGGGCTGAAGAGAAGAAGTGGAAAATAGAGCTACTTCCTGCCATCCACCCCTCTGATTATTGTTCCATCTCCTCTTATGTTCAGACACCAGGATTCTTGCTTTTATGCTCATGATAACTAGCTGTTGAGTCTTTCATATGTCTTCTAAATCTCTCAGCGTCAGTTTCCTTTTTTTTTTTTTTTGGTAGATTCCCAATACTGACCTCCAAGAAGTGTTTGAATGCAGCTACAGAAAGTGAAAGTGCTTTGCCAACTACAAAGCATTACAGAAGAGTAATGGCAAATGTGATCACGCTATCCAGGCCTCGCCCTGAAACCAGCATGAGGACAGGAGCCAGTTGTCTTGTTCAATGCTGTATCTCTTTGTCCAAGACAATGCCTTACACAAAGCAAGTGCTGAAAAAAGTATTTGTTGAATGTACAAATGGCTGTATACAGCATTTTTCACTTTTCAAATAACCATCACATATGATAAATTATTTCTTGACACTGTCTCTGTAGCAGTTACGCTAACATTTCTCTGTTTCTCTGACCCTCCACTTCAATTTCCTTCCTTTCAGCCAATGAACTTGTTCACTGCCTTGTAGATTATTTTATAAAATATTATAGTTATTACAGTTCTTCCTCTTGAGCCAATCCTGTGTGATTGTGCTTTGCATTTCCTATCTATAAACCCAAACAATCTGGCTTCTGCTTCACTACTTTAGTAAAGTTGCTCCCAACAGTCAATGTAGACTGATGATTTTTCTTTACTTTTTTTTTTAAAAGATTTATTTATTTATTTGAAATAATAGTCACAGAGAGAGAGAGAGGAGAGACAGAGAGAGAGATATTCCATCCACTGGTTCACTCCCCATTTGGCCACAACAGCCGGGGCTGGGCCAATTCAAAGCCACAAGCCAGGAAGCTTCTTCTGGGTCTCCCGTGTGGGTGCAAGGGCACAAGCACTTGGGCCATCTTCCGCTGCTTTCCCACACTCATTAATAAGGAACTGGATTGGAAGTGGAGCAGCCCAGACTCTAACAGGCACCCATATGGGATGCTGACACTGCAGGCAGTGGCTTTACCAGCTGTGCCACAGTGTGGTCCCTGATGACTTTTGTTAGAACTTATTCTCCTTCACATGCTTGCAATACAAAGCATTCTGGTAACAACTGCTTTCTTGAGGATTCATCCCTAGGTTGCTTGACTGTACCACCTTAGGTCTCCTCATGCCTTTATGACCAAGGTGGTAGTACACCCGTGTCAGCTACCTCCTCTTCCATTTGTCCTGGCCAGTGGACCACAGACTCATTTCCTCATCCCCTGTCTCCGCTCATCTTAATTTTCAGTCCATCTCTGGGTACCTGCAGCTGGATTGTTGTCATCCGATGAGAGCCTGTTTCCATTGAGCTCCTGCCTGTGCTCAGTTCTTCAGGGAGGACGTTATGTAGTCTTGGGCTTTGGGTTCCACCTCCACCTGTGGCCTGAGCATCTTCCTTCCTGAAGGTGGAGGGCAAGAGATGAGGGGAAGATCGCTGAGGCCCTCTCTGCAACCCCCCACCTCTTAGAACACATCACAATGTACTCTATGATGTAGATAATTTGTAGTCACATTCTCCTGGCTTGAATCTCACTCAGATGCCAGGCCCATGGCTTCCCTGATGTTTCTCCTTGAAAGTCCTGCCACCCTCTCGATCAACCCTATTAAAATTGGATCCACTATCTCACATAACCCAGGTCACCTTCTCACCACCAGCGACATCACCATTTTCTTCAATTTGCAAGCTCATCTTTGACTTTTGTTTTCCAAATCCATCTTTGGGTCCTGCTGTTTCTCATAGCTGCCTGTTCAATTTGATTATATTAAAATAACTTGCCTGTTTCTTTCTTCTACATAATGTCCCTCACATTTCCCCCGCTTTCCATTCATACTCCATGTCCATGTTTAAGTTTAGTTTACCACCTTAAGTCTGAATGCATACAAAACCACCCACTTGGTCAGTAGAGTGTAGGGTTTACTTCTGCATTTGGAGTTGGGCTGTCTGGATTTGTGTTAAGGCCTTACTGCTTCTCATTGTGTATTAAAGGGCTTATCTGTCTTAACCCCTTGACTAGAAATGCAAGGTTTGCTGCCTTTCACTGCTCAAATCCTAACCCTCCTTCATGGCTCACCTTGTCTCACCTCCTCCATGCGGCCTCCAACCCCGCCAGCTTGCACTGCTTTCTTACCTCTCAAGCACTTTAGCATTTATGTGCTAATAACAGTATTTCTGTGGTTTATAGGGGTTCAGTTGGATAGGAGGTACAACTTCTAATGTTCTATAGCATAGTTGGATAACTATGGTTGACAACAATTGGATATTAGTGGAGAGGATTTTGAATGTTGCCAGCACAATGAAATCATAAATTTCTGAGGTGATGGCATGGCAATTACCCTGCTCTGATCATTATACATTGCATAATGTACTAAAATATCGTACTCTTACTCATAAGTGTAACAGTACCATTTCCTACTTAGGGAAAACTTATATTGCAGGGATTAATTCATTAAGCAAATATTTACTGAGTTCCTTCCTAGGCACTGAAGAAAGAGTGTAGCACAAGGCACCAAATGAAGCCTACATTTCAATTGTGTGCGTGTGTTTATGAGTGTGTTTATGAGAGACAGAGAGCGGTAGCTAGCAATTGCATAAATAAATCAGCCATCACACAGATAGGCAGAGATAAGTTTTTCCTTTCTGTGCTGACAGCACTCCAGCAAACATGATAATGTTTCCCAAACCCACTGGACCTTCTGTAAGGGCCAGTGGCGAGCACCAACTCCACAAAGTGACAGTGTACAGTAATCTGAGCTCCTCCGTATGCCCAGGAAAAGCAGTGTTACAACGCAAAGCAGATTGGCTCTAGTGGGCACATTAAGCTGGTTTTCTGGGAAAAGGCTGTAGCTACAGAGAAAATTGTGCTGAGGCTTGAGTGTGTGGAGCCCAATTGCAGATCTAAGGGAATGCTGGCTCTTACGAGATGTAAGCATTCCGAACCGTGATCCAGTTCTAAGCCTCTTCTTCCATTTTACTATGAAGACGACAAAATCTATGATTACTGGTCACTTCATTTGGTGGTCTTTTGGGAGGGAACAAGCTAGAGCCATCAGTAAAATTCCCTTCGTGGGGAACTTTTGCTTCAAAAAAATTTTTTCTGGGTAAACACAATAGCAAGTTCAATTCCCCAAGAATAAATAAGCTCACTTGTTGGAACAGAAAGAAAGCCCATTTCCTGGCAGATATTTGGGAGTGAGCTACGATAGGTGGTCCCTACGGTACACAGGCCCTGGATCAAGAACAGTCTTGCAGTCTATGGGAGGAAGTTCGAGATTTGAATTTAGGCGCACTGGGAAGACATTTGAGAATTTTAAACTGAAGAATAGCATGCTGCAATTTATTTTAAGCTATCATGGCTGTGCAGAGTCAGAGGAGGAGCAACTAAGTGGAAGCAGAGAGGCCAATGACAAGGCTGTTGCAATAGTCTGGGAGAGGGATGGCAGCAAGAGCAGAGAGGAGGGTGCAGACTGGGGCATATCTGGGAGAAGTAGCTGGCTGAACTGACGAGAGAGTGATGTAACTTCCAAGAAGATCTGAGAGGCCAAGGGCGGTGTGTTCATTTTAGCTTGAGAAGTTGGGTGGTGAGTGTTGCCATTTGCAGAGCTGAAGAAGACAGAGGCATGATGGGCGAGGGTTAAAGTGTTTCAGAGGAGAGAAAGTCAACATGGGGTGGAGGGGCAGGTTGGCTTCCTGGACAGATTGAGACAAAGCAAACCATGAAGAGGATTAGGAGAACAGGGAAAGGGCTGGTCAAGCTCCTGGGAAGAGCAAGGGTCTATCTGGGACATGTTCAAGTCCAAGGTGTCTATGAGTTCTCCAAGTAGAAACGGTGTCAGAAACACTTCCATTCACCTTCTGATGTGTGCGTTTTGTGCTTTACTATTGAGACAGCAAGCAACCTGGGGTCAGGAATCTTGTCTCAGATTTCTTACATCTCACACAGTGCTAGGAGGAAGATCTACAGTAGGCTCCCAACATTCTGGAATGAATACATAAAGTATGGGCTTCGAGAAGTTCATGGAAGAATAGAATTTTTTAAAAAAGCACATTTTAAGTTAATTTTTTGTAGTTCTCTTGTATTTGGCAAGAAAACTAAAAGCAGAGACAAAAGATATCAAAACCAAAGCTTTCCTAATTAGCTCCAATGCCTTTTAAAAAAGATTTATTTATTTATTTATTTATTTATTTGAAAAGCAGAGTGTCAGAGGGAGAGAGAGAGAAAGAGAGAGAGAAATATCTTCTATCTGCTGATTCATACCTCAAATGGCTACAACGTAGGGGTCTTCCATGTGGGTGGCAGGAACCCTAGTAGTTAGACTGTCTTATGTTGCCTTCTCAGGCGCATTATCAGGGTTTTTATTTTGCAGATTTTGAAAGATCCATTTATTTATTTGGAAGGCAAAGTCACAGAGAGAGAGAGAGAGAAAGAGAGAGAGAGAAAGAGAGAGAGATCTTCCATCTGCTGATTCACACCCAAAATTACTGCAAAAGTCAGGGATGGGCAGGCTGAAGCCAGGAGCTAGGAACTCCATCCACGTCTTCCACGTGGGTGGCAGGGACCCAAGTACTTGGGCCATCCTCAGCTGCTTTCCCAGGTGCATTAGCAGGGAACTGATTGGAAGTGGAGCAGCCGGGACGGGAGCCAATATTCATATGGGAAGCCGATGTTGCAGGTGGTGGTTTAACTCCCTATGCCACAACACTGGTAATTGCAATGATTTTTTTTTTAATCTAAGCTTCATTAGACTCTAACACTCTCTTAGCACGTGTCATCAGTGGGTTGGTGTAGGGGAGGAAGCAACCTAAAGTGATTTGAAGGCCAGCATCCACCACAGAGGGGCTTCTGTGACAATCTCCGTCATCCTGCAGATTTCCAAACCATGCTGTTTCCTCTTGAGAACTGTGCTGGTTTTATGTTTGCCTGGCTCATCTGCTTGGCTTTGCTGGTGCCCTAGATCCTTCTCCTGGGAGTGGGGGCCTTGTGTAATGCTCCCTCCCTCACAGATCTCCCGTCTTCATCATCCAAGTCTTTTCATTGGACACCTGGTCGGCTCGCTGCTCTGCGGTGGGGCTTGCTTCTTCCTGGCCTCAGGGTTTCTGGCAACCTTGCACTCCTTCTGTGCTGTGCCTGTACAGATCTTGTCGTGGCTGCACTGGTCTCCATCCCTGCCTTCAGAGGGTTGCTGCGGCGACAGTGAGGGCATCGTTATGCCTGTGTGGTGTGTGCTGGGATAAGGGTGTGAATCAGAGGAAGCGCACGTGTCCAGGCTCTGTGCTCTGCTCAAGGGGCTATGAGCAATGCATGAGGGTCACCAGAGTACAGCTTGAGTCCTGATGGGCCCTTTCTAGTTCAGGGTCCTTATTGTTGAATGGGCTTAAAAACACTCCCTTTGCAGCGCTGGCCATCACAAAGGGACAAACGTATGTGACGGCCTCCTCACAGTAGTTGGCATGGAGACGTGGGACCTCCTGTTATCATTAATAAAACAGACACGCCAGATAGACTGAAAGCAGACACGACAGAATGAGAAAGTGATGATAAAATCTTTTAAATGAGGCAGAGGACAAAGTGGAAAAGATGAAGGTTGCAGTGACTCTAGGTGGTGAACCCGCACATGGAAATCTAAAGGCTTTGTTCTCAGCCTGATTAAATTTGCGGGATCTGATTAGGGCAAGGTGATGCGCCCCAAGGCCCACTCCACCACCAACAGGAAGGTTACAGGACTTCTCACTGCCCAGAGATGCACAAAGTCAGCTGCACAGGGATCACCTTCCCCACGCTCTTCCCTAGGAGGCTCTGCAGGTAAGGACAGTGCCTCTGTGGAAAACTCCACCTGAGGCAGCCCCGGACCACCTGCGAGGGCCAGGAAATGGCGTTCAGGGCTTTTCCGGGCTTTGTAATTGGATCCTAGGGCTGAGGGTGCATCGAATTCCTTGAATGAATTAGCCTGGAGTTTGGCAAAAAGCCTTTGCCCTGAGCAGCTGAATCACTTTTAGATGATACAGCTGGCACCGGGCCGATATGTGCTTGTGACTAGGAGTGATCGCGAAGATTCTCCCCCACACCCCATTTGTTCAAAGGCACAGAGTTTCCAGGGAAGCCCGTGAAAGAGCGGAGACCAATTCCAGAAATAATCCTTCACCTGTTGCTCACTGTTGTGAGGTGCCAGAGGCCGTGGACTTGGGGTCTGAGGGGCGCAGAGGGCAAATTGGAAGGAGACAAAGATGCTGACTTCCGCCTGCAGGTGAGAGCTGGAGCTGGAACTTGCTAATTCGGATTCCACTGTCAAGGAAATATTCCACATCCGTCTTGGAATGCGCCCGCCTGCAGGCCCACGGAGCCGACAGATGCCTCTGTGGCGGGAAGGAGGCAGGGCAGGTGAGCATCCACGGGAAAAGCCCGCTAGAGCTCGGTGCTCCCCCATCTTTACAGAGTAGTGGCAGAGGAGGCTGCGGGGATTCAGAGCAGGCAGTGTT